ATTACTTAATTGTTTCCATAAAAACATCCCCTGTATGTAAATTGCAAATAGACAGCTAACTGAAATACCTCAATATATAGATATAAATGTGAGTATCTAAGTCATGGAACTACAACACATAGTCCAGATATAATCCTGATACATTATTACAACTCGAATCTAAGATAAGACATAACCAAGTCAACGTGGCATGGACAATCTCCATGCTCACCAAATAACGACATAACAACAGAGTCTCAACATGGTAATCCAAAAATGAAGCTAAAATCATAAAGCAGTAAATAGGATCCAGCATCCAAGTATAACAGCAAAACAACATAAGTAGATATCATCAATCAACTAAGATCTGGCCTCCTGCCACTAGAGGTATCAACCCCTTGGTTACCTGAACCTGAAATAAGCGCCCCCAAACGTGGGGTGAGATCTCTAAACAAGAAATCTCAATAAGGCAAGGGGTCCTCAAAGATCTTCCACCCCAAGCTCACTTACATGTGCAATATAAGTTCAAAAGCATTTAACAGTATAAGTTCCAAAACTATGTTGTGCAACATATATTCATGCTATGTGTGTCACAACTATTCTACTGGCCAGAGAAATGCAGGACGTACGTCTACAACCCTACAATAAGTACAAGGAACACCGCTTGCACCTCACCCACAGCCTCACCCTCTTGTATGTACCACATACTCAGGCTTACCGTATAGGTGGAACACCACATGCATATCATAAAGGCACTCGCATATAACAGCTCAACAACATTTCACAAATCAATATATCATGAAAACAATATCATGCATATAACTATACCCCCATGAGACATAGTGGAACCAACAATGGCTAAACCGAGGACACGAAAGCTTACCTTGCAAGCTAACAATCCAATGCCAAGAGTCCACACACAGCACAATCACAATCTGTTAGGACCAATAACAACATCAATATTTATACTTTACAAGCATATGATATAAAGACAACGCCTTTCCTTTGCGTTCCATGTCTTAAGGCTTCTCACAAAGTCACAAGCCCTTAATCCCTTAATTCTGACTTAGATTAATTACTACATAAGCTCAACTCCATCAATCTAGGGTCCACAAACCCCAAACATAGTTCTGTATGAACAGTACCGTTACTGTTCTCGGAAACCCAAAATATCCGGATATATGTCGTAGGCATATCCGGATATCCCATATCCGGATATCATATACGGATATGCATATCTGGATATCACAAAGACCCAATATCCGAATATCAATATCCGGATATCATTTTCGGATATCAATATCCGAATATTTCGCGACAGAATGCAGTTCTGCATTTTTGCGAAGATATCCAGCAAAGGTGGTTCATTTCCAGCATACAGAAGCTTAAACATGCGATTTAAGGTGTGTTTAACATTACCCAACGTTAGGTTATGATCATAGGTTCATTACATGCATCAAGGTTTCATTTTTAATCACTAAAACTCATGATCAAAGGTGATGAAGCTTACCCAAGCTTAAACTCAGCAAATGAACACCCTTGGAGCTTCCCACCCAGTTCTCTCGGCTCTGACTTGCAAAGAAACAAAAATGGCACACAAGGTGGTTCCTTTCTTCACAAAGAAAGCTTCTTTAACCTAAAAAATCTACCACAAAGGCTCACACAACCCTGACCACCAAGTCAACCTCACAACACCTCACACACAGAAGCTAAGACACATAAATAGAGGCTTCTCCCCACTCACAAAGCTATCTCACACTAACTCAAGGTTTTAGAGAAGAAGAATCAAGAGAAAGGTGATAACTTGGTCACAAAATGGTGAAGAAGGCAATAGAACAGTGCTTATGGTCAGCCACCCCCAGGAGTTTCACGTAGGAATGCATACATGCCTAGGGTTTTGTGCTAAAATGCATATATATAGCCATTTAATTTTTAAACACACTGTATTAGCACTAATATCTACGCTTAGAATTTTAATCCCAAACTTTGGAATCTTAACCTACTCATTTTTCTAAGATTTATCATATTTTTATTTTATTTTTCGCAGCACCTTCTGGGTACGCGCTTTTCCATAGCCAGTACCAGTTCTGGCACCAGTTCTCATTATTTTGATCTGAAACTTGTTTTACAAGTCCTATATAATATTCTAGGAATATTCATGCACTTATTTTAATTTTCTGGGATACTTCACCGATACGCATTTATACCGAGTAACATAATCGGTATCTGCACTTTTTGTCAGAAAAGCGACTTTCAGCATTCTTAATCACTTGTTATAATTATTAAAACCTCATAATAATTATTAGGGTCAATTATGAAATCATTCCCTATTTCTCACATTTATTTATTAATTTCCTTAATTAGCGATGGGTTCTTACAGTAGGCTTATATGCCGAGCCAATAGGTTGGACGTTGCGTGGTTTTGGCATTGACCATTTCAGCTTCGTCGTATTTTGTATCCCTATGCTCCCCTATTTCACTAAATCCCTTGCTTTATCCCGTTTTCGGATGTTATGTTATGTTATTTATATGCATCGAAGTGAGCCATTGAGCGGAGTATTCTCCAGAACCTCTGGGTTGCTGAGATATATTCGTATATCTCACCCCGCTTTGGAGGCTTTATTTCATGAGGTAGCAGTGGTGCTGGAGCGGTGGGCAAGAAGCCCGTAGGGTGATTGGACGTAGGGTTTGTTATTTTGCATTTTGTTGGTCATTGGGCCTAGACTAGACTTAGGTCATGAACAATGCATATGATTAGGAGAATTATTATCATTTTGTTCATGATGTATATTTTGTCTAAGTTTAGTCTCGAGTACCTTGTTTATTTTGGGATATGTATTATGTTATTTGAAGGTTATGATTTGTAAAGTGTAATATGTCACTTGGAAGATTTGTAATTTGTACATGAATTGATGTAACCATGAAGTATATAATATGATGAAAGGGCAATAGGCTATTCTAGGATGTGAATGATGCTTTATAATTCAAAGAATGCATGCAAATGGATTATGGTGATTGAAATATGTTAAGTTTGAAAATATAAGTAAAGTGATGGAAATTGAGTAATTTGATATAAACTGTGATGGGTTGTAAGAGTCCCAAGATATTGCTGGTCCTTGTGTGTGCCACCCAATGATTATTAGGTACAAATTGAGGTCATAGGACACTTTTGCAAACTTGGGGATTATTGGAAAAACAAAAGAAACTCTGGCGAATTTTTTAGAAATTGGCAGAATTTAGGTGAACTTTGGGAGAGCATATCTCCCTCCACAGAGGTCTGATAGGGACGTTCCATATGCCGTTTTGAATCTTGAGATTTCCTCTATCTTGTGGTAAAATTTTGGATTTTTCTGGGTTGGGTGTCGGCCTGTAGAAGGCATAGAACGCAGACTGCCCTGTTGGCCCCTGCACATGGGACTTATCAGGACCGAGTTTGGGAAAATTATTCCTGTTTCGTTTCTTGGTCATATTAGGTGTATGATATGCCCAATTGAAGCTTGAGGTGTCTAGTTTGTTGTATAAAAATTTTAAAGCAATTGGTTGAGTGGAGTTTCCAGAATAATTAATTGAGTGAAGAATGTTTGGAGCTGTTTTGGGGTTGGCTGACAGATTTGCTTGTCTAACTTCAAACGGCGATATCCGGAGCAAACGATAACTTTATGACTCGTGTGATAGCTTCCTAGAAATTTAATTAAGTCTAGAATAACATACTAAAAGATGGGAGGCTTGTAGAATGCGGTTTGTCCGCAGAAAATTAAAGACCGAACCATGTTCAGATAGGTAGAAAACGTAAAAGTGAGGTTTTAGCTAAGTGAGTTTATGGGTACTGTTTAGTGACTTGAGAGATGTAATATATGATATAAAAGTAGTCTAAATAATTATTCCGCAAAGAGTTTACAGTTACGGTCACAACTTTTATTATTACACTTTTTATTGTTTTAAATACTCGCGTAATAAACGAAAAAAGTTTACTTGCATTTTTATAAATGAATTGTTGTGGTTGTAACTGCGCTTAATATCATAATTAATGTTAACAATACCGGAGTACAACAGAATGTTACATGGTTATAGAAATATTATTTTAGAAAGTGATTCGCTTATGGCAATTACTGTGCTCACCAAATGTGGTGTAGTAGTCCGTGAGGTGCATTTGATTTCTCGTATACAGACGTGGCTTGGAAAGGATTGACAGGTTCGTCTTCAACACAACTTCTAGGAAGACAACACTTGTGCAGACTGGTTAGCTAACTTTATATTGGATGCTTCTGAGCAAGCTGATCATTGTGTTTGTAGTCAACCTCCTTTTGGTATTCATCCTTTATATCTGGGTGATTTTGCTTTAGTAGGAAGGGCTCGTGCTGTCGCACTCCCTGGATAGTTTTCTTTTCTTTGTTTTTTGGGCTTTTAGCCTTTTTATTTATCAAAAGAAAAAGAAAAAGTAGTAGATAAATTTATCTGTTTCAAAAGCAGAAATCCTATTTTATTACGTATTGAGTAAACATCATTTTTGGTCCCTAACAAAAAACACGGTCTCCACTTTAGTCCCTTACAAAAATAAATTAGTGAGTTAGTCCCTAACAAATTCAAAGTGGACCTATTTTAGTCCTTTTGAGGGACTAATATGGGTCTTTTTTGAATTTGTGAGGGACCACGATTTCAACTAAATGGGTCTACTTTGAATTTATTAAGGACTAACTGACTAATTTATTTTTGTAAGGGACTAAAGTGGGGACCGTGTTTTTTGTTAGGGACCAAAAATGGTATTTACTCTTACGTATTTTGAGCACTTTATTATTATTATTATATAACTAATTAATTTAAAATTATTATTATTAGAATTTTATTAATCTCACATTAAAGAGATAAATTATCTTATATCATAAAGACAAGTTTTTGAACTCTGGAAAAGAAAAAAAAGAAAAAAATAGCACGGTTATGAAATCTACGTGTGCGTAGGAGAAAAAGTTATGAGAGATAGCGTAAGACTAATTTTTCGCTTATTATTATTATTTTGGATGATCGTCACCATTTGCAATTGCGAGTGCGGTGTGCGTCAGTGCTTGTGCTGGTGTGTTTTTGTTCTGTACTTTTTCCCTTTTAGGATGAACAAATTAACTTGTCTTCAATAACTTATAAAGGTTGAAGGAAAACCGGTCGAGACTCGAGAGCAGAGGGAAAATTCCAGGGTTTCTGTTTCAGAGAAGAGAAGCTCGTTCGTGTTTGGGTTCTGGTGGATTCGATTCGATTCGATTCGATTCCAGCTACAATACAATGGGGAAAAACCAGAAATCAGGGCTAGGTAGATCCTTGGTGAAGCAGCATAACCAAATGGTCCAGCAGAACAAGGAAAAGGGCTATTCCTACCAGAAGAAGGTTCTCGAATCCTTCACAGAGATCAGCGACATCGACGCCATCATCGAACAAACAGAACACTCTCAACCTCTCTTTGACGCCACCCATCACTCCCTCCCCAACCGCCTCATCAATCTGTAAGAAGGGCCAACTTATTTATTTATTTTGTTAATTCCAATTTATTTGGACATTTTTCCTTCAATTTGTGTTTTTCTTTTTGTTGTTGTATGAGTGTAGGGATTCGAACTCTGGCACTGTAATGAATGACATGACACCTGAAGAAATGAGGAAGCAACAGAAAAGGGAGGAGGCGCTGCATGCTAGTAGTCTCCGTGTTCCACGTAGGTTCGTTTTTCTTTCATTGTCTGAGTAATCGATTCTCATTTGATTGGTTGGTTGTTCTGATTCTTTTTTTTTTTTTTTCCCTCTCCTTTAGGCCACCATGGAGTGCAGACATGTCTGTTGAGGAGCTTGATGAGAATGAAAGACATGCTTTCCTAATTTGGCGTCGGAGTCTAGCAAGGTTAGGTCCATATTAATATTATACCTTGTTAATCATTGAATAATTACATCAAATCTAATTTAGCAGAAATGGTTAAATATGTTACTTTACTGCAAAGCTTTGAAATCAGTCTTATAAAGCCACAGGAGTTTTAGTTTGTAACTATTTCTGTAAGTGACATATAGGAAGAATAAGAAATTGAGGACAGTTGTTTTGTAGATATTTTTTTATTTATGTGTGGCATGATGATGTTTCAGACTTGAGGAGAATGAGAAGCTTGTCCTTACTCCATTTGAGAAAAATCTTGATATCTGGAGACAGCTCTGGCGGGTTGTCGAGCGCAGTGATTTGGTAAGTTGATATCATCTTGAAAATTTCACCTATAATTTTTTACTTTTTAGTTGATGAAGTGTTTCAAATTTCAATATGATTGACAAATAACCTTGGATAATAGTGTACTTTTAATGATAATTTCTTATCCCTCCCTAGAGATACATTCATTGTCTGAAAAAATAAGCTTTTTATTTTTTTATTTAGATCATTATATGGATAATTGCTATTTCTATTCTTATCAGTTATGGTCATAGTTATATAGAAAAACACTTAGTTAAGTAATTTTTTCATTGGGTTTTTCCTCTTTGTTTTGTCTTTTAAGTGCATGAAACCTTTAAGATGATGATCTCATGGTGTTGATTTTCAAAATACACTGTAATGGTTTGTAGTTATAATGTTATATAGAAGTATACGTAGTGTAGCAAATTTTATATCTGGTATTTGCCCTTTGTTTAGTTCATGAATTCTTTAAGATGATGATCCCACTCTCATTCTCTTTTACCAGCTTGTTATGGTTGTTGATTCACGAGATCCACTGTTCTATCGCTGTCCTGATCTTGAGGTAATACTCTTGCCCCGCCTCCCCCCTCTTTCTCCTTAAGGAAATGCTGGATCGTGTAACTTGACAAATCTAGAGATCTCTAAAGTCTTTAGCAAATCTAAACATATTGGGGAAGACATCATCTTGGAGAGGGTGGCACGCAAACTGCAAAGTGGAAGATGACATTTTTTCTTTTTTTGCAATAGATACATAATTTAACTGAAAAGTAACAATTTTCGGGGAGTTACATATTGCATTAATCGGTTTTTGCATCATGAAATTAAGTTTTAGTTGCATCCCTTTGAAATAACTTATGAGATGAACCCTTTGAAATAACTTCCTTCTAAGATGCACATCAAGGAACATGTGAGACAGTGAGATGACACAGCATGCAAACGAGGCTATAGGTTAGTTTTAAAACGTTAGACAAGACGTTGCTATTATTAGAGGCTTTTTTAGCTTATTTCATAACTAAATTTTACTACTCAGCTACAACTGCTAGTTGAAATAAAGATTATAATAGTGTATCAACATTACTATATTTGTTATTTAGCATTAATCTAAGCTGTTAGATGCAGCATAGATAGTTTCTGATGATAAACTACTTTTATCAAACAGTGTAAACTTATCTACTTTGAAGAATCATTTTAATTATGAGTGCTAGCCATGATTTATTTTGCATTAATTTTACTCTGAGACAGGCATATGCACAAGAGGTTGATGAGCATAAACACACATTGCTCCTGGTTAATAAAGCAGATCTTTTACCAGCTTCTCTCAGGTTTAAATTTTCTGCATAAGATTAATGGTTATACTCCATCAAATCATCACTCTTGGTTTTCTATCTTGCTGAGATTCTTATTATTTGCCTTTCCTCTGCCCCCCTTTTTCATGCAGAGAGTATTGGGCAGAGTATTTTCGTGCTCATAATATTCTCTACATCTTCTGGTCAGCTAAAGCTGCTTCAGCATCTCTTGAAGATAAAAGGTTTGGGTCATCATCATTGGAAGCTGATGACTCGGGGAGGAACAATAACCTAGACACAAAGATATATGACAGGGATGAGCTTTTGGCACGATTGCAGTCAGAGGCAGAAGAAATAGTAGAGGTGAGGAGAAATTCCAGCTCCTCTGGCGCAGGGCCATCTAACAGTGAATCTCCTGGTGAAAATGCTACTGGTAGTTCGTCATCAAGTAATGTTGTTGTGGGATTTGTTGGATATCCTAATGTTGGCAAAAGTTCAACTATTAATGCTCTGGTTGGTAAAAAACGGACAGGTGTCACCTCGACTCCAGGGAAGACAAAGCACTTTCAAACTTTAATTATCTCTGACAAACTGACCCTCTGTGATTGTCCTGGATTAGTTTTCCCATCTTTCTCAAGCTCAAGATATGAGATGATTGCTTGTGGAGTGTTGCCTATAGATAGGATGACTGAACACAGGGAGGCTGTCCAAGTTGTAGCCGATAGAGTCCCAAGACATGTCATTGAGGAGATTTATAATATCAATCTGCCAAAACCTAAGCCATATGAGCCCCAATCTCGACCCCCTCTGGCATCTGAACTTTTGAGAGCATATTGTGCTTCTCGTGGGTATGTTGCCTCCAGTGGACTGCCTGATGAAACTAGAGCTGCCCGCCAGATACTGAAAGATTACATTGATGGGAAGCTGCCTCATTATGAAATGCCCCCTGGAATGTCAAATGAGGAACTAGCTTTGGAAGGTCAAGTAGGTAATGAGTCACTCAACTTGCATGGCTTTGATTCATCTGGTACTGAAAACTCTACGGATGTTTACAGTGAAGTTGCACCGGATCTTGAGCATGTATTGGATGACCTTAATTCATTTGACATGGCTAATGGGCTTGCTTCAAACAAAGTTACTATCAAGGAGTCTAATACATCTCGTAAGCACCATAAGAATTAAGAAGCCTCAGAGGAAAATAGACCGTTCTTGGAGAACAGGGAATGATGATGCTGACGGGATGCCAGTTGTATGATTCTTTCAGAAACCAGTAAACACAAACCATGTTAAGGTTTAAAATATCATGCCCTTCTGGTATTCGTATAACAGACAACGCCTGATCTGAGACCCAGTATGTACATTGTTAAATCTCAGATTGAGTAAGTTACACTTTTTTGTTTGCAATGCAGAATTAGAATACGTAGGCAATCCTAATGATCTGAGACCCATATTTGTAATATATTATATTTTTTTTGCAAAATTGATGAGTATTATAATTTAGCTTTATTTTTTTGTTAAATTATTGAATATTAAATATAATATACTCTACATAAATTAAAAATATTATTTAATATCAAAACATGTTTTAACGTGTCAAAATCAAATATTTTTTAGAAATTAATATATTATTATATCGTGTCGTATTATATCTCATATCGATATTGGTGTAACCTAAAGGGAAATTGCCCCGTTCAAGGGTTAACAGCTTAATTTAACAATGTTGTGTCATGTTATCGACTTTCAAGTTTGATGTATGTATATGGAAATTAGCCCATAGCCTCCTATGTCTGTCAAATTTGCTAGTTTTACCCCTTGGGCCAAATCAATTTGGTATGGTGCCTAAATACACTATCTCCCTAGTAAGAACAATGTCGCTAGAATTGACTTATGATTATGAGACATAATCAAAGTTTTTCACTGTGAAGGATAATATTTTAAAGACTGTGTATGACTTTAATCGCAAACTTAACCTAGGTGATTTGGAAAGTTTCACAATCAACCGGGCACTAGCACTTAGGCTTTGGCACTTTGGGAATTTGTGATTTTGGTGGCCAATCTCCAATAGGACTGTGTTCTTTTTGAAGCAAACAATTTGGACCTTATTGAAGTATGTGAAAGTTACTCACAATCTAGAAAATGAGGAAATTCACAGTGACTGGTCCCTAATATAATTAGTAAAGATCATTTATATTTTTCAAAAGTTACTACTTATTATAAGTAAACATTGACTTCTTAACTACTTAAGTTTCTGTCAATCGGTTCATACTAGGACTAAACCCAAACTAAGTAAAGTACATCACTGAACTTGCAATTAACAATCAGTACATAGCAACCAGAATTATTGTCACACATAAAAAAAAATCATCGTCATACATAAAGAATAATATCCTTTAAATTATTTAATAAGTTAAAATTATTTTATTTAATTTAAGAGTAAAGTATATTTTGAGTCATGAACAAATATTACGGGACCTAATTTAATTCCTTAAAAAAAAATTGACTCACGGTTCTTTTACATTTCAAAATAGACCTATGTTAATTCTTTTGAAAGAGTAATATAGATCTTATTTGAATTTAGTAGAAATCACAATTTTAACTACGGATCTATTTTAAAAAAATCTTTTCCAAAAGGTGGAAACACTTACCCTATCATTAGAATTTTTTTTTCTTACATGTTGCATTCAAATAAATTTTTCTTAAAAAAATAAGTTATGATTGACTGATTAAATTATAGGATTAAAAAAAAATTTAAGGGTTTTATTAATGTTATGTAACATAATTTAAGTGTTGTTTCCAACACACACAATAAAAGGGAGAGAGAAGGTGGAATGATAAAGAGAAAGAAAAACATATGGACCCCACATCTTTAATGTGTGTAGGAAAGTGAGGTTATATTATGTTACATGATAAACATAAGACCCAAAAATTAAAGATAAGAAGATGCAAAACTGTCCTGGCAAGGAATTGGTCCACGTGGACTTGTCTGTGACTGTGAGATTCCATTACACAGAATTATAAATATAAGCTGATGCCATATAAGGTCACACCACTCACTACCTATCTGCTTAATGCCTCAAACACAAAATCCTTATCACGCTTAAAATAATAAATTATTAATCAAATTCATGGTTTACAAAAAAATACACAAATAATAAAAATATTTGTGATAAATAAATAATGTATAGATGTATAAAATTATGGGAGAAGTATTTCTCTTGTTATTGGAGATAAATTATTTTTATTGAGTTAAAAACAATTTCACGTTGAAGTTATAAGATTAAAAAATTATAATGATAAATACTAATATAATTTTATAATATATTAAAATTATAAAAATACTTTGATTTTCACCTCAAAATAACATCATTTTGAGCTTACTAGAGATAATTTATCGGAGAAATTATTTTCCATAAAATTATTTAAAAACTAAGATAATCTATATAAATAAAATAATAATAATCAAAACAATATTCTCATCCCAACACGGCTCTTAGCCAATGTGCAACAATTGTGCATTGGCCAAGACTCTTGCTGGCCGAAATATTGCTATGCCTGTATGCCGTGCTTTTCGCAGACACTTTCCATCACAGTCACGCGCGTACCATGTTCACTCTTGTTGCTTGGATGACAAAGTTTAATTATTTTTTTAATTATTTAAAATGTGAATCTAGTGATTTTAATCATAGAATTGCGCGAATTAAGACATAATAAATTGACTAATCAACTTTCAACTTATTCATGATTAGATACTTATAATAATCAATTTTATAAGCATCGAAATTAAACTCTAGATTTCTTAGCTGGAATCCGAACCTGTGTGGCTGTGTCATTTATATTTGTGAGAACCCAACACAAAGCATATTGTTTATTTTATGCGCAATCAATCTTTTGAGATTAAAAAGGATTGTACAGCGCGTGCTCTCACTTTAAGCTTTCTCGCTGCACCGTTAAATAATTTAAGTAATCCCCGGTTATCTCGGTATCACCATCTCCGTTCTTCCCCGTTACACACTTATAAAATCTGGGCGCTGCGGCCGTCATTTCTTCCGTTCATGCTATAACCGTTGATTTCGGTCTTTTTCTTTTTTAAATAGAGTAGAAAATAAAAAATAAAATAAATATAAAAATAATTTTTGAAAAAATTATTTATCATTTTAAATGATATAAAGTTATGTCATTTTAAAAGAGATAGACACAAAATAATTTTTTTTATTTAAATTTTAAATTAAAAAAAATCATCAACTTTCTCTCTCCCCCGTGATTTTCATTTTTTATGTCTATCTCTCTCTTCAAATGACATAATTTATGTCATTTAAAATGACAAACACCAAGCTTATAATTTTTATATATAATAAAGGGAATAACATCAGTCATTTTAAAAGATGCAAGCTTATATTATTTTAGATCTTAACCGTTGATTTCTGTCCATCAACAATTATAATTTATCGGATCAAAATTATTAATTAATTAATAATAAATTTGAATATAAGGTTATATGATATATGTTTTTCTCATAAAAAAACTAAAAAACCAAGGCAAAAATAAATTTTAGAGAGAGAAAGAAACGCCACCTTCGAGACTCAGAAAGAGAAGGAGAAATGATAGAGAAAGTTATTGGAATTTTTTTATTTTTTTATTTTTAATTTTCCGCTTTCGGGTTGCGAGCGAGTGTGTGTTTTTGTTGTGGCCTTGAGATTGTTTCAATTCCCGCTTCAGTTTCTTTTCTTTTCTCTGAGTTTCAACTTTCAACGCAGAAGAGAGAGAAAGGGAGGGAGAATAGAGAGAGAGAGAAAACCTAAACTAATTTTGTTTCCGCTGGTTACTGTTTTCGAAAATTTGCGTGTTTAGGATTTTTGTCTTCAAATTCAGGAATCGAGGATCTGAGCTTAAGGCTTTCTAATTGCGAACATTGAGTTTGTTTGTTTATCGAAGGAAGCAAGATCGTTTGAGGCGTTTGGATTCTTGGAAACGAATCGAAATGTTGGTTCGGAATGCGATTTTGCGGGAATTCTAGCTCCGATCTTGACGAAATTGCTCGAATATTTGGGTTGAAGCAATGGATGTCGATTCCTCGATGGTGCCGGAGGCCGATCACGATCCGGCCGTGCAGAACCACGCCGCCTCTGCTCCGGCACAGGCTGCGATAGATGGAGAACAGTTGGCGGAGCCGCCGTCGTCCGGAGGCGGATCTCCGGCGCAGCCGTCGGTTCAGCAACAGCAGCAGCAGCAGCAGGTGTCTGCTCAGGTGCAGCAGAGTCCGGTGGTTGGGCCGAGGCTGGCACCAACTTACACTGTGGTGGATGCAATTTTAGAGAAGAAGGAGGACGGGCCGGGGCCGAGGTGCGGCCACACGTTGACGGCGGTGGCGGCTGTGGGAGAGGAGGGGACGCCTGGGTACATTGGTCCGAGGTTGATTCTGTTCGGTGGTGCCACTGCACTTGAAGGGAATTCTGCGGCTTCAGGGACTCCTTCATCCGCTGGAAATGCTGGCATACGTATGTATTTAATTATCTTACCGTATTCTTCCCAGCATGTGTTAACATTCCTCGGGATTTTTTGGCTGAGAATTTTCAGTTTCGGTAAATGTGGGTTTGATAACTAGACACTTGGCATACTTGATGTATTTTGAAGTTGAATTGAATTGTAGCTGCACACAGGGCGGGGTTTTATTTTGTCAGTATAAAGAACCACTTCAACTCAAAACCTTAGGGTGTTAGGTGAGGGTCTTTTTAATTGTTGATAATATTCTCTAACACACCCCCTCAGACAAGAGCCTTTGGTGCTTGAAGTGTGGATATTGCACATGTCCAATTTTTTTGGTTTACCTCGTGCTTATTTTTTTTAATTCCACTCGAAAGTGGGGTCGATGAGGATCGAACTCGTGATCTTGTGGTAACTGAAGGTATGATACCATGTAAAGAACCACTTCAATCCAAAACTTTAAGATGTTTGGTGATGGTCTTTTTAATGATTTATATTATTCTCTAACAGTCAGTTCCTAATTTTTAGTTGTTAACATCTGTTTAAATGCATAGACCTAATTGCATTGTTCTTTTAGGTCATGGAAATGCATATATTGCTATGAATTGGTAATTTTTCGGGCCTATTCAATTTTGATGGCATCTTTTAGTCTTTGGTGCTTATGAACTAGATGTTTCCCGTCATGGAAACTAGGGCTTTCATAAACCTGACCTTGTTGATTACAAAAGCTTCATAATAGTTCACTTGGATGGATGGGCTAGATTGGAATAGAATGGAAATGGCATTTATGATCATTCATTTGTTGGATAATTTAACTTATAAAAACAACAACCAATCCTTGTCTCATTGGTGGGGTTAGCTTCATGGATCAAATGACTTCGTAGGGCATTATTAAAAACCAAAATTTCAATAGATTCATCTAGAGTAAATCCTTTTTAATGTTTTCTTCTAAATTTTTATTTGGTCTTTCTTTCGATTTACTTTTGACTTTGGCCCTTT